CTATCCTTGGAGCCACACAACTAGTGTCACTAAAAAGTGACAGGTGTGGCAGAAATCTATTTGCGCTAACAGGGCAAATTTACAGAATCCGGCTCATGCAAATATGAATCAAATCAAGTAATACCCTGTGGGCCTTAGCCCCGCTGAAACAAATCTCTTTATGTCCGAGATTGTGGGACCCACAGCAAACAATGAAAGCCATAAATCAAGCCTGTCAAGACAAATGGCACATCCCCCATATAACTTTGATAACATACAGGTGGCACTGGGTTCATTCCATTGTCCATAAATGGGGATGATGTCACCAACAGATGGGACTTCTCTCATTGAGGACAAAGAAACACATGGATACGCACATACGCACACACAAGTGATGACAAAGTGACTGATAGATGTTTTTATACAAGCGTGATTTATGCTTGAGGTACAAAACTGTAGGGATTGGGAAAAAAGACCTTTTCCTTTCCGCGAGTCTGTATTGCCGACCACTTAGAGCTTCATGCTTGTTAATTACACAGACACACACACACTTGACAGGGAGCTACTAGCTGATTGGTTGGCTGATTAACACTAGCTTGCCTGCTGGTTGAGTGTGCTCCCATCACAGGGAGATTGCTGCAGCCTCTTGTTAACCCTCATTGTATGAAACAACCCAGTGGCTCACCTTCAAGCACACTTACCAGCCTCTTAGTCCCAAACCTCTCTCACTATCAACAATTATGTGTGTGTGTGTGCTTCTGTGCCCTTGAGTGTGAGTGTGTATCCCTGTCCCTCTCACTAGCTAGGAAGTTAGCAGCAGCAGCTTCGAGAGCGCTTCAATATCCTCTCCCCCTAACCTGATTATTAATTACAGTCTGCCTCTAGCTGACCGCAGCCCAAACACTGTCTAACACTGTTACCAAGGAAACCGACACAAAGTCATTCACAAACAAGATTCAGGAAACACAGATTTAAGCACGCTCACAGCACAGCAGTTGTTCAGATTAGTATATTTGTGTCTGTGTTAGTCATTGTGCTCAAAGTATTTTAATCAACGTGCATGCTGATCAAAAGTTATTCACATAGTGAAAAGTGCTGATGTGTAAGTGACACCTGTAACGTGCTTGGCATCATCTCAAAAGCACCATAACTCACTAAACACTCAAGATGAAACCCATCATCTGGTTGCAAAATCATAAGTTGATCTAAGTGACTGAGTGCCAGAAAGTCAGTCATGCCTGAGCTGTGCGGCACTCAGCAGTAATCAACCTGGAGCTGTGCCTGCAGTAAGGCTGAGGGACATCACTCTTTAAATGGGCTTCTGGCAATCAGCTGTGTGTGTGTGTGTGTGTGTGTGTGTGTGTGCTTGTATCACACTTGTGTTGAAATGGAGAGCGGATTAAGTACTTGCCAGCAGCAGAATATGGCTTATAATGCTACACAAGTGTGTCCTGTGTTATTTTAGTACTGGCCATACGGTGCTGTGTTGCACTCAGTGACACACACACATTCACACACACAGTCTGCAAAATGCTTACTGTGTGATGTCAGCCAAGTGTCAGACATCACAGAGCTTTCAGAGGAGCCTCTCATCTGCCAATAACAAACGTGAGCTCAATCTGTAGTAATAAATTCAAATACATCTTTTAACACACTTTTCATTCAGATTTTCTCACCAAAGTGTTTTGTGTGTATCCTTGTGTTAACCCCCCTTCCTTTTTTAAAACCTGCATTTGTATCCTCATGTACATGCACTGGACACAAACTACACTGGTACCACCGTCATACAAACATTGCTCCATAGCACTCTTAGTGGTCAGAAACTCCCATTTTGATATACGGGACTAGGCCATATTCACATCAACCAGTGCACACAGAGGATATGACAATTGCCACTGTGGCAATTTACCAGAAATTATAAACCACTCAGTATTGTGCAGGCCTTCAGAGTCGCTCAAACTGGGCTAGTATTCAGAGTCTCATCATGATGCTGTTTTCCACTTAAATTCCCCTTGTGTAGCTCTGTAGCAGTTTCATATTCCTTCACCATTATACAACTAAAAAAACAGCTGTTATAATGGCTCACTTCATCCGACTTTAGAAAAGGGGGTGAGAATGTCTCAGCAGATAATAATATTTAGTTCACTGCTCCATGTTCTGTGCTCTTTATGCCAGACTGTGCATAATTGTGTTACCTTGGTGCCAATAGGTCTTAATTTCAGTCCTGCTACAGGATACCTACTCAAGATAGAGCCTTTTTTCATGTCAGACATTTGTCATAACAGGAAATCAGAGGTGTACCTAAAAGCATTAAGTGTGGCCCCGTTGCATTTAAGTGTCTAGTAAGCCATGCCTGTGAGCAAGCATAGGGGAGACCGGGGTAAGATGAGTCACTTTTCATATTCAGGATCACTACATCAAGGCTATTATAGTTTTGTTGCTAACTAATATGTATGTTCCCCCTGTCGGGAGTTATTTTCCCAGTATTCACCGGCTCATTATACATTATCCCGCTTATTACACGGCTAATTATCAGTTAAATAAATAATGTTGTCTGCCTCTGCGAAGTGCATTAAAACCGATCGGATTCGACAACTTTTGGTGAAAGTTTTGTACTCACCCAGGCTTAGTGGACTGAACCGAGGCATAAAACTCGCGTAAAATGTCATTAAGCATGACTGCCGAGTGTGTATTCAAATCCGTCTTCTTTTGTTTTTGGCAGAGAAAGTCCGTAGGTATTCTTTTTCTTCAGCGGCATCCGTTAAAATCAGCCACTTCTGTTTGTTTTTCCCTCGGAAGTTGTTTGACAGCTGCAGTGTTGCAGGGCAGCATCCCTAGCAACGCTGGGCTACATAGCAACTGTGTGTAATGACCGTTGCTACTAGCAGCGGTCATTACACAGTAATATCAGACCGCAGAATGCCGCTACTGACCAATCAGAATACAGCATTTAATAGAGCCGTGTAATAAATGTGCATATATTTCAGGATGTTGTGCATCCCTACAAACAAACAGAATGGGTGTAAACATAACTGTTTTGATAATATAACATGTCCAAAAAAAGTGGTCTTGTGGCACAACTTGTCTGGGGTAAGTTGAGCATAGGAGTGGGGTAAGTTGAGCCATCTCCCTCCTTCCCTCCCCCTGCCCTCCCTCTTCCCCCTTCTTCCCCCCACCTCACCTTCTCTCCTCCCCCTCTCTCCCTCCCTCCCTGGGTTAAGATATTCCAGTTATACATGTCTGTACTGAATTAAATAAGACGCTTCTTCAAATCCATGTGTATTTTTATTTATAATACACAATTCAACAGGTACAAATCTTTTTTTTAATTATTATTGCATATAGCAACATTTTAACATAGGCCCGAGAATGCCTTAAAGTACGTTTAGCAAGAGAACTATAATTGTCGTGTTTTTGGAAAGAAAACACTGAACTAAATCCGTAAACGTGAATCCTAGTTTGGTGTCCTTGCTGACAGGAGGGCCTCCTTCATCCTCTCTAAACTCCTCCCTCCATCTTACTCTCGTTCCATCCACCCCCCTCCCTCCTTCCATCCATATCCCACCTGCCCCGTTACTCAATATTCCACCTGTCCAGGTTGCAGGGGAATACAAACTGCTGGGACTCTGCGGTTTGGAGAGTTTTGCGATTACATCGCTTCTTGGGAAGAATCCCTCATCTTTCTCATTGAAAGTGAAGCTTGGTTTACCATATCCAGCTTTGCCTCTTCTCAGAAACTTACGGCTCAACTTACCCCTGTTCAAATTGCTCAACTTACCCCATAGCTACCATATTGACTTTATTAGCCCCCACAGCTAAAATGGTACACTTTCATGCAGCTGTACTACCTCATTTTGTAGTTAATAGATACCACAATTGATGTATAAAACAAATTAAAAATGATCTATTTTGGTCTAAACACAATCCCCATGAAACTTATGATAGACTAAATTCACTTTCATGAGTGAAAAATGCTTTTTTGGACATAAATCTCTAACCACTTAACCCATGTGGTTCTTACCTTCACAGACTCCATAAAATGATGCCTTCCTCCTAAATATTTGGTCACATGCTCAATTTTATTTACAGTTTCCTAGCAACAAGGGGTGGCTCAACTTCCCCTTTGGCTCAACTTAACCCAGTCTCCCTACAGAGCCCTAGAAGTGAAATACATCAATGCCACACTGACATCATTAATGCTATTAGTTACACCTGTGCTTTTCCTGCTGTGACATTTGGTGTATGTATCCTTAAGTGTCAAAGGAGTTGTGATTTAATTCTGTGGTCAGTTGTAAATGCACTATTGTCCTGGCATGTATGCTCTACCACCTACTTTGCCACAGTGTTTTCATTTTACCAAGTGATAAAATGTCCCTTTTTGAAACCTCTAGTTCGGCTCCTGTTTTCTTTGTAAGTTGTTTCATTTTGCTTTGAAAAAGTCACATGTAAAGGGTTGATTCTCTGAAATTCGTCAAGCTGCCACATTGTGCTGATTGCTATTAAAATGACTCGCCTGAGTAGCTGCCTCTGAAACTTTGATTTAGTCACTTCAAAGTGCTTCTTCATGTGGTGTTCTGTTATTTTGTCCGCCCCCCTGTTGAGTTTGGAACAGAGCACAGTCAAAGCCAATATGCTGCTGGAGATAAAAGAATAGATATATAGATAGTGAACAGATTGGGGAATAAGTGATGATGGCAGGGGAAATGTAAAGTAAAGAAAGCAAATACGGTTAATTCAGTCACTCCTTTCATTTCTGTCCACAAGGGGGAGTGAATGGGACTGCTGGACTCAGGCAATTATGCCTTCACATCATGACAGATGGAACCAGGGGGTTTGTAGGGTGGGCTGTGGTTTCCTCATTGGTAAGAGGGATTAAATGCTAGAAACAGGGGAGGGGAACCTTCATCTAAAAAGGGGAGGGATATATGGTGAGTGCAGGACACAGAGCTAATGGCAAAAACAGTTGATTGGCTGTGAGTCCCAGCCAATGAGTGTAAGAGAAGAATAAAGCGACTCGAATGGCGATTAGAAAGTCTCGTCTATTAGCAGCTGGGGGAAGGGAGTGATGAAACAAGGGTTAATATGAGTTGAGTTTGTGGTTTGGTACTGAATGAATGAACAGATGGAATGAATCAATGTGTTAAATGAAGGCCCTCATGAGTACGGTAAAAATCTCTATGTGTGTGTTCAGGGAACAAATATGCAAAGTACATAAAAGTAGTTTTCATATATACAATATATGTAAATGTATTTTGTACATATAAGAAATCAAATAATTACCATGACATCATTAACACAAAGCCATTAACAAAACAAACAACCTTCCTATTTCCAGATTATTGCATTTCAGCTTCTTTCTGTCATATACACCTCTCTGTCTCTCACTATGTCTCCTTGCTCCTTTTCTTGGTGAGGTAGCTCTGGTAGTAGAAGTTACTGAAGAGAGCGATGAGGCTGAAAGAGTAGGCACACACAACCATGTTCATGGAGTCAGGGAAGTCACAGTCGGCAAACAGGTTGTAGGTGGTGTGGATGGTTACGATGAAAAACTGGAGCTGTATGGGAGACAGACAGACAGACAGACAGACAGACAAGAGAGAGAGAGTGAGACAAATCAAGTGGCAGACTGTCTGGGCTCTCTTGGTACAAGTGGACACAGACAAACCTGGCAATGTAGAGAAAACAGATCAACACCTACTCCTACACAACAGCCTGTGTAAAGACATAAAAAGTTCCTCACCAAAAAGAAAGGAAAAACAAGCTCCTAGATCGAAACAAAATTTAATATACAAAAAACATCATGACATTCCCAAGGAAGGAGCAAAATATATAATATATTAAAGTATGTAGCCTCATGCAGTTGCATGTGTTTGTTGTATAGTAAATATAGTACATATGTTCAAACACTTTGTCGCCCTTTTTTTAAATTTGGAATACTTGTACATTCAAAATATTACACAAAATGCTTTAACAATACTTAATGATGTTCATGCCAGTAAAGCAGATTTGAGTGTGAGTTTGAAACAGGAACAAAGAACCTACAAGGCAATGGTCACATGACAGACAGAGATGGTCGAAGCCATCAGTACAAAGAGTGCTCAAGTGATGAGGTTTTTCTGTAGGCCGACATTGAAGTTAGCATCACTCTGGTTGGGCTGTGGAAATACATATCTGATTGGCTTATGAAAAAAAACACAATTGTAACCAAGTTATTTATAAACTGATGGCATTACACTGTGAAATACACAATGGTGTAGTAATAGTTACCAGAACCAATGGCAGACAGCTGGCAGTAATAAGCTAGACAGTTAGCTTTTGAACATGTTGGTCTTGCAGGCTGTAGCGGTTCATCAAGTGCCTCTCAAAGAAAGTGGCATTTAGTGTCAGCACTTGTGTTAAAGTAACACACTTGTATGGAGCAAATATTGATTTTATATTATTGAGCACTAACTAATGAAAGAGTGATTCTGTTGCTAGTTCATGCTAGCTTTCCATAGCAAAAACATGTTGAGCTAGCATGAGCACATGAGAGGAGCAGGTGTGACTACTAAAATGACAAGTGTCACGACTGTTTAGCTGTCAGTGCCTAACATACGCTGTAGAATAATCCATATCCATATGTCTTGTAGAGCCACTATGGTGTTCAGTTGGGTTGAGCGTTCAGGGCATAAGCAGGAACCATGTGTATGAACGAACATGATGGACGTTGTGCATCTATCAACCCCGCTCCACACACACCTCCCCTTCCAATGTAGTTAATAATTACCTCTGAAAGAAACAAAAGAAACGACCTCATAAGCACAGAGAGAAATACAATCTCCAATCAGCTCAACTATCTCTGCTTCAGTTCATCAAATTGTGAAGCCAACTGTTAATGAAGGCTTAGGGGTCATCTCCAAGGTCAGTACAATTATTGTTACATAATGGCGGTCAGCCACCGTACTGACCTATATATACTGCAGACACATAGAAGCAAAGAAAACCCTACAGGATGCATTGTTTCATCATCAACCCTAAGTAGAAAACAGATGGTCCAGTAGTTAGCTGGGGAGCATCAGTGCTGCTAATCTGTCTAGTTGTGCTAACAGCCAATCAGAACAATGACGGACCAAGCAGGAGGCCTCATGTTAGGCTTGTCAAATTTGAATACTTAAGAGCTCATGGAACGTGCTTTTTGGACATACACCAGTCTGAATAGAAGTTTATATATAGAAGGAAAGACTTGCCAACACAGGGGCGATTCTAGGATCAGAGGTTTAGGGGTGCTGAGCACCCAGAGAGCTGCCCGGCCAGGCAAGATAAATTTCACTGTTTTGTACATTTTAACTCAATTTCATTCCCACATCTGTGAAAGAAAAGCACAACACTTTTTGGGAAAGTCTGTGACTAAACCATCAAATCTGATAAAGGTTATTTAAATGCTGAGCCACAGCAAAAGAGGAATGGACTGGAATCATAAAAGAAACATATCGTAACCCTAATTTCTGGGGGAAGACAACTCATTTTGATACAGCAGCTCCTCAACATATACATAAACAGTATGTATGTTTCTGGAGTAAACCAGCCCCCTATAGTGAGTACCAAAAATACCAAAAATGGACCTTAGACTTATTTTTTGGACTTTTATTTGAAATGCAATGCACAACATGTAACATTAACACATTAACAGTAATTGACTTTTTCAATGTTTGTCTCTGCCTTTTTCCTTCTTGTCACAATAGGAGTTATAATGTTAATGGGCATCCAGTCAGTTAGCTAGTCAGTAGCACCTTGGCTTTAATATTAACACATGCACATGACACAACAGCTAGCTTCTCTCATTCCAATTCAAACAGAGGACAGTGGTACTGAC